TTCCAAAGGCTTCTTAAGACTACTAATCTCACTAATGTTCTGTTTGCAAACTCCCTTTAATTCCATTTGGAAACAAGTACGGCTGTGTTCATCGTGGGGACGTGTCCTTGAGGTAGCCCTTCACAGGGAGCAGATCGGGAGCTCTGCTTCAGGCACGGAGCCCCGATGCAGCCTACGCTGCAGTCCTGTGGCCTCATTCTGCCCATTCGTGTAGCTCTGCTGAGAAATTCTCAGCCTCTCTCTTGCCCCAACACACCGAGTTAATCATTTGTTCTTTTTCCAGTACGGTTTGTTCAGGCTGGAATTTTCCTGTTGATGGATTGTATGTCAACCAAAATGCTTCTGATCTTACAAATGCTAGTTCTGGAATGACTTTAAACTTAATAAACTTAATAAACAATTTTTTTAACCAAATGTGGAAAATCGTCCCGTAATTACCAAGTCATTATGTTCTTGTGAGGAACTCTGCCAAGTGCAGTTTGAATGTCTAAAAAAGTCCTATCAGAATAAGACATCATTTTGTTTCACGAGAGCTGGCTTACCCCTATCATGGCTTGCCACTTGTTCACCCAGGTGGTACAATGAACACTTCAACAAATACTTGCTTTAGAAGCCTGTAATTGTCGGGCCAGTCTTTCAAAAACAGAAAATATTTGCTGCCCCTCCGGCATCCTCCTAGGTGTTGCTTATAATGAATGTTTTCATGGCCTTTGTTAGCAGTTCAACCACTTCATTCTTGAAATCTTTCTGGTTTTCTTGAATGAATATCCTGGAAAGTCAGATGGGTTACAGTGAAGAGGGTAGAGACTGTAGAAATGCAGAAAGTAAAGGAAAGAGGTACTGAAGTGAAGCTGTAAAAGCGTACCAAAGTCTATGCAGCTTTTATATCCTCACGTTAGTGCATGCACCTGTATGCTCATAGATTTAGATACTGACGTCCATGTTGGAGTCAGTCTTGGCAAACCTTTCGGAGCAGTTGCTATCATGCTCATTACTGCGAGGACAAAGGATTGTGGACTTACCTTAAGGATGGACAAGCTCATGCTGCAACTCATTGCTTTGCTTCCTCATGCATGAATTTGCGGTTGTTCTCCAGCCTCTGCAGAACTGGGACTCTGAGTGGGTGGGTTAACTCCCACCTTTACATCCACCTGCCCACAGGCAAGGTCCCAAAACAGCTGAAATCACAGCCAGTTTTAAACAACACAGCTAATGTGGCTTATGGCTCCATGGGCAAACATAATAAAAGCGCTGCTCTTCTTGGAAAGCTCTGTTCAAGCACCACAACTCTCCGCACACTGAAAAAGGCAAGATTCTACTGCAGAAGAGTCCAACTGCGGGACTGAATAGATCCCAAGAAGCAATAACGTGGCCTGGCTCACTGTATTGTTATTGCCTGTGTCGCACGTGAAGAGATATTGAACAGAAACATTAAATGCAGTGAGATGAGTCAGATTATTACGGCCCCTTGAGCTGTTTGCTTGTCAATACTCATTTAAGTAGGAAATATCTTCCTTTCGGATTAAAAAGTAACATATTCCAGAACTTGCTCAGCTTTATTTCTAAAGATAGTGAGAAACAATGCGAAGAATGATAAGGATCTGTAAAAATATGGAGCAGTTTTTGTTCCATGAAAGACTAAATAGGGTAGAAGTATCCATTTGAAAAGGCACGAGTGGGGCAGAAGTCCATCTAATCATGAAGGATACGGAAAAGGTGAACAGGGAGTGATTTTTCACTCTCTTATAACCCAGGTACTGAGAGGTACACAACAAATTGTCAGGGTAGTTTCAATACAGGCAAGTGTGTTTCGGCAGCACTGAACTGAACTGCAGAACCTGACGGCACAGGCAGTGCAGAGGCTGAAAAGTGCAAGAGGGCTTATAAAGGGATTGTACAAAAACACAGCAGAAAGGTCCATAAATGGCTAATAAACACAACAGTTTTTAAGAAACATCTTCAAGCTGAGGCCCTAAACTACTGATACTTGACACTGGGCAGGTACACTGGGCTAAACAGACCTTTGCCCTGGCTCAGTATGAGTCTCCCTATGTTATACTGCTACACACAAAGTTCAGTTCAAAGGGAAGGCTTGGGGGTTTGGGGTACCACCAATGGTGGCTCTGGGTAGTGCTTCAGTTCCTGTGTTTATAGACTATCAGAGTATCCTGTGGTTGTACAAGCCACCTCAGAGAGAATGGATCAAAAAAGAGGATCTGTCAAACCCCTGCTTTCCTCTTCCCTGACAATGTCTGAGGACCCCAGACAAGAAAATGGTTGTCAAGGCTTGGATGATGGGCCATGCATGCATGCAAATTTAAGTGCTGGTTTATCACAACTTATGGGCCGAGAAACGTACCAAAGACAAAGACCCAGAAGCTCGGGCTCTGCAGGGCAGCCAGCCAAGCTCTCTTTGCTGAATATGGTTTTAGGATCCCAGAGAAACTGAGCAAACTGAGCAACTTTTCGTACTGGGAAGTGAACAAGCTTTGGAGCTGATATGTCAACACCATCAGACCCATCTGTCAGTAGCCTCCTTATCAGCAGGGCTGATCACTTTGGGAGGTGGTCTCAGCCATTTCTAAGCCCTGCATAACAAATGGGAGTTAGGGTTTGATCTTCTCGAGATCATATTTGAGGACAAAGTGATTTTGAGGTCAACCTGCTCCGAAGTCTAACTAGAAATGCCAGTTATTCTGTGGAAGGCAGGGCTGAACCTGGGTTCTTTCCAAATCCTGTGTTTCAGAGGGATAATTTATGCCTCTCCCTCACTTGGCCGACTTCCAGGGTCCTCAGACAGAGCACCATAACTCAGCATGCCTCCACCTGGACAAAACAGTTCTGGTTCCTCACTTGCCTAATGTGGCAGGAAAAAAACCCAAACCCCTTCCCCTCCTGCCCAAGTTGCTCACAGAGCACTCAGGCAGGACCGGCTATCCAAACCTCTCCTCCCTCACAGCGTAGGTGCTGGATGAAATGTGTTCATCTTTGGTGAGCAGCTGGCAGAGGCCTGGTGGCGACCCAGGGGAAGAGAAGAGACTCTGCATTCTCTTCCCACTGTTTGGGAAGTCCAGGTCTTCTTTATGGACTTTCATCTCCATTATTTTGTGCTGTCTGCTAGGGGTGAGGGACTCAGTTCTTTGTGGATGATTTCCACAGATCAC